CCTTATCATGCCTTTGAAATAGCTCAGAACACTTCAGGATCTACTGTACAGTGTAGTAACTATATTTACAGATGAACTGAGATCCAGTTTGGGTCCTGTAGAAACCTTGTATATCGAGAGAATTGCTTTCAATAACTGAATTAACAACTCGTGAGTGAAAGGGATTTATTCTAAATGACAAAATTAATAAATCTTTTTCATTGGTTATTAATTACCTAATGAAGGGCACCTGCCATTCCTTTACATATGGTACATAATGTTGCTGTATTTTCACATGCTTTACAGATGGCAAAGAATAAATCCTATTTTTTTTTACACATTCCTCAGAATGATCTTTTACAAAAATGTTATTTTCATTTCTTAGAACTCTTTCAGCAATCTGACGATTTGCTCTTGTAAAGTCACGGACCTCTACATGTATTTTTGGATTTGCTATTGAACAGAATATGACATTTGTGCATTGATTCTTGGGATGCATGTGTTTACCAGTTGATAATCACTAAGCGGTTCTGGTGGGCAGCTTAGCAGTCTGTCCTTGTAGTTGTCTGGCCTCGCTGTTTTAATTCTTAAACATTGATGTTGTCCAGTATCATAATTTATGATCTTTTGTAGTTTCTCTTATTGGCCTTCACAGCTCTCTGACTATATGCTTGGAATGAGCTGGTGTTGATAGCAGTTGCCAAACATCTGCTTACCTATTAAATGCTTCCACATTATTGGCTTGGACATATGTACAGTACAGTATTTGCTGTTGCAGCCTCAAGCAGGTTCTATTTCTCTTACAGACCTTCAGATCTTTTGAGCAAGTTACTTTAAATTCAATCATTATCAATTTGTATGTTCCAACTATGTCAGTGATTCTACTGGACTGGATCTGAAAGTATTTTGGGAGACTTTACAAAAAGTGTCAGGTTTGTTTTGTACCTTTTTAAAAACAAGACTCACTGGTACTGAACAAATTTGGATTGCAATTGGAGTAGGGTTAGGAAGAGAACAAATTGTGTTGATACCTTGCTGTAGAGACCTCTGGTTCAAGAATAACCTGTCAGTTTCCGCTGGAAAAGTGAAGATTGTATGGATAACGAAGTGCACTTCAGTAATCACAATATTTGTAAATTTTTTAAGTTCTTTGAGTCATTCAAAGGAACATAATTTTTTTCCAGTTTCTGGTATCAGATGTGATGTTTAGTGTTTAGAATTTTATTTTAGCATTGCATTATTTCCCATTTACGTTATTTATTAACAATTTAGCATTAACTGGCGAGTGGATAATAATCCTAATAACAATCCTTGCATTTGGTATAGCGTCTTTCATATTAAGAGGACGTCTCAAAGCGCTTCACAGAATTTATTGAGAAATTGTGTGGCAATGTATTTTGTGAGCCAACATGGCAGCCCATTTGCGCAGAACAACAACCCACAAACAGCCATGGAGTAAGTGACCAATTTTATTTGGGATTGTTGACTTAGACACCGAGTAGTACCATACTCGATACACAGTAGTTTAACATTCATCTCAATATGCAGAAAGGACCTCAGTTTAATATCTCATCTGAAGGAGAGCATCTCCCAACATTTCAGTGCTCCCAAGGACTGCATTGGAATGTCAGTCTGGAAGCTGAGTTCCAAGTCCTGAATTGGGGCTTGAACCTACAACCTTCTGCCTCAGAGAGAGCTATCAAACTGACATAACAATGCTTGATGTAAGGAATGTTTTCAATATTTTGAAGTTGTAAGATTCGCATAATTGGAAACTTATCAAGAATTTTGAAAGTATGTTATTAGCTTGGGGACAGAATTCATGATCTGAGCCTAATCCTACTGAAGGCTTGAAAGTTCTTGGGACTTTAGTTACTGCTTACCAGGATTCAGCTGCATTGTGTTCATTGTCAGAAAGATTGGAGATACTTTATATAGAATTCAGTTTATGTTGATTGATTGGTTCTGCAGAGATCACATATTGGCTTAGTATCCTTATTTGGGTGATTATGCATTTGGTGCAGTTATTCTCTAATCAGCATCAAATCTGGCACTTGAGTAAGTTGGAACATCTCTCCCTGTGATTTGGATTTGAATCCAGCCCAGGCAGATGGAATGAAATTCTTCTCTATGTAATGACTGTTGAGGGATCCAAGTGGAATGAACTGTGACAGCCTCCATTTCTGTACAGCATTGAACTCAATGAATGAGAATCCTCCACAGAGATCTGGCCTCAAACTCAGCACAATTGGAACCAATTGAGTAACCCTACTCACATAGGTTATTGCAGAAGTATGGACGGTGTAAGGCAAAATTGAAAAGTCTAGTTGTCTAGGTCAGGCACATTTAGACAGCTGTTTGGGGAATGATGCAGTGGCAATGGCAGCTTTCTTAAGCATTTTGCTTGCATGATACGAGTGTATAATGTAATGTCAATGTATGTTGCAATGGGTTTATTCCTCTGCAAATACGTACACAAATTATAAAAAAAAAGCTTTTGAGACAGTGTTTATTTCAAGTCACAAGATTTATTAATAGGTTTTCTTCAATTTGGCAGGTTTTGTTGTGCTTCCTAGTGCAAGTTGCATATTCATTTGCAGTGTGCTAATCCTCTGATGTATGTTGTTCCCCAGCTGTGCATAGATTCAAAGGCATAACCTTTTCATAAGCTGCTTTACAATGGTAGGAATTTCTCTGAGCAGGCTTTAGAAAAGTGCTGAATATTTGATGAAGCCATAGTGAGAAAATGGAATCACAGACTTATCTTAATTGATGCTATCTTTGGCAATCACAAAAGGAAGTATTTTTGCATTGCATTATACCCCTTTTTGTAGAATATTTTTACTTGCATAACATTACAGAGGTTTTTTTTGTCAGCTTGAGAGTTCAATGGCTGACTGCCAATGTTTGAAGCAGGTGGAGAACAAGCACTGAGCTTTAAAGGCAAATATCAAATGCTTTTTTTTAATATAGTTTATTGTTCCATGGATTGTGCTTTAATTCACTTTTGAAGATCTCAAAATGTTGAAATGTGATGGCACGTGATTATCTTCTTTTTCAAGACAATTGCATTAAAAGTACTACGATAGACATTTATTTGGAATCCAAAGTAATTCTGACATATTATTGTGTTGCCGAGTTTATACTGTTTCATATTACATACTCTCAGAAGGGCAGTTTAGCAGCGAACTTATGCTTTTTTTTNCCCTGGGACACATCTGCCACAGGCTTTATATTTTGAGAAAATAAGAAGTATTGGTAACCATGGATCAGAGGTGAAATGAGAATCACTGCAATAGCAGGTGGGAGATTCCGGAGTGGAAAAGGAATACTGTACTTGATTGTGGATGAAGCAGAGCAATCAGAATATTTGGTCATTTACTCACCTGAAAATAGTTGCATAAAGCAGATCTTATTTGTGCTATCATGGTAATGGATACTTAATTGATGGTGCTCGCTATGGATTGGTGAGTTGCATGCGTTGTGTAGTGTGGACCGAAAGGGTTTCATGCTTGATTCCAGGTCTGCGCTGAGTTAACTGATGTCAGCTGGAATAATTTGAGCCCCTGTTATTCCTGGGCCAGACAAAGGAAAAATCAACCAGTCCCTTCACCAGATTGTTATCTGTTGACACCTGTCGAAAAGTGTGCTTGAGGACAGGATTGGGCTCAGCTCCAACACCTCCAAGTAGCCTGCCAACTTTCAGTGTAAATGTTGACACATCTTTGGTGCCAGTTATCCGCAGACACCCATGGAATGGTATTCTCGAATCCTAGTACGAGTCACTGACATCAGGAGAAAAGTGTAGATTGTTGAGAAAACTTGGAATTAACTCAATATTTTGAAGGTCAGATTTTGGATATATGCTGTATCCTCAAATAAAGTCAAGCTGAAGTTACTATAGCAACCGCTACCTTGCCAACAATATAGATTCGCATGACTGAGTTCTTCAACCTACAATATCAGGTCTAATCTTTGACTACAGCTACATAGAGGAGGGATAAGGGAGCATACTTGATATAATGCTGCCATGCTGCTGACAGAGCACTCACTGAAGGTTACATTTTATCCATGGTGTTACATTGTCATGAATTGCATTATTCATTTGGTTTAAAAGCACTGTACTGCAGAATATTGTGCGTCTATCTTTGCTGTTCGCATAATTCCCGTCCCCTCCCTCGCCCATGTTCATAGTTCTTTTGAACACTATAGATTTAGCCAAGATACATCCTAGAAACTTTTTTTATCGTACCCATCGCACTGCACTCTTTGTTAGGTTAAGGTTTCTCAGCGTTTTGATGTGGTAAAGCTTTATAATAACTGAAAGCTTTGAACTGTTGGTCACAATTATATTGCAACTGATGCATTTCTATTTTAAAAAGGTCAATATGTGAACACACCGTCTTGAGTTTTTTCTTAACTGGTAGTTCTCAGTTTGTTATAACACATTTGTAAACGTTAATTGAAAGTTGTTTTAAAATGTGGGTTAACTCTGAAAAGCAACATTTTTGAAGAAGCTGCAATTCCCACTCCCCATCTTTTCATCCATACTGTAGACACAGTTTGTTCTTTATCAGAGTCTATGTTTCATGTTTTTCTGTGTTGGGTTGAAGGTTGCTAACAGTTCAATACTCGTCTGTTTGTCATTATTTCAAGTGTCATTTTGACAGTTAATCTTTACTATAATATAACCAAGTGTTTGATCTATGTTTAATTTTTTCTGAATCATCTCCAGTTCTAACTACAATTTAGTTTTTAAAAAAACTAAATCATAAAAAAATAATGTCTTGTATTGAAAATAGTTGAATTTATATTGAATGTTTTGCTTGAATGTTTGGCTGATTAAAATTCTTAAGGTTAAAATTTGCATGTAGAAATTTTGTTGCAGGTCATATTACTGTAATTGGTATATTAGAAAGTGTTTTCTGAGACATGCATATTTATTTCAAGAATTTGTCTTTCCTTCTCCCACTCCCACCCCCTCCCCCCTCCACCCCACCCATGAATCCTTTCCTCTACAGCTTCCTGCAGACTTTACAAAATTGCATCTCGCAGATACCCTCCACCCTCAGGTGGCCAACGTTTCCTCTAGTCACTCAGGATGTAGTATCACCAGTGATTCTGGTAGCAGCAGCTTATCTGATCTTTACCAGGTAAGGGGGCTTTATTTTTTAATGCAAATACATATGTCTAAAAGGATGTTGAACTCTTAATTCATCGGGGTAGTTCAGTTCCCTTCAGTTAGTTTTACTTTTGGGCTTGTATGAAATTGCTGCTATTACAATCTATGTGTTTGTACAGGCTTTAAAAACACCAACAACTTGCATTTATATAGCACCATTCACGCAGGGTAGCGTCCCAGAACGCTTGACACTGAGCCAGGGGGAGAGGGAGTGGGGAGGTGACTGCAAGCACGATAAAAAGGAGGGTCTTTAGGTGGAATATGAAAGTGGGGAGGCAAGGCGGGGGAATTGAGGGAGAGAGTTTCAGGGCGTAGTGGCTGAAGGCACAGCCAACGATGGTGCAGTTGAAGGGACGAGTGACAAACAGGAGACTGGAGCCAGCCGAGTGGAGGCAGTGCGTGGTGGAGTGGGGGTTAACCAGATTGGATAGGTAGCGAGGTGCGAGGATATGAAGGGATTTGAAAATGAGTGAGAGGAGCTTGAAGTCAATCCGTTCAGTAATTGGGAACCATTGGAGTCTAGCAAGGACTAGTGTGATGGGGGTATGGAGTTTTGTGCGGTTGAGTATCCGGGCAGTGGAGTTTTAGATTTTAAAACTTAACCAGACTGTCTGAGAACAGTTTTTAACAACCCTAGCACAAGACACACTGGGGACCATTGCGCAACAAGCCCAGTATGTCTTGTATTAGGGTTGTTAATGAAACCTGCATAATATTGTTCTATTCTGTTGGTCAGTTGACTTGTAAACCCCAGAACATTCTGCTGGTCTGAATTAAGGAGCATTACAGAGAGTTCACATGCAAAACTTTAACAAAAAGAACAATTATGTTTGAAAAACAGGTGAAGGGCGAAAACGCATTGTGCAACTATCAAGGTTGAAGAAAAGAAAATGGTTAGGTGCTTCCAAGTTTGGGCTTTAAAAGTTTGTAGGTTGTAACAAAGACCTTCCTTTTTTCTCTGTTTATCTAGATTATAAAACCAAGGGATTTGTGTTGGCACTTGATTTTCATCTTTGACCATACAATTATAGAAACCAACCGTTGCTTTTAGGTCATTGCAGGCTGAGAAGCTTGGCAGGCTGCCTATTCCTTGATCTCTGTCGGTGTCATTCAAGTATACTTTGAGCGGAGTCATTGTAAGGAAACATCTAGCCACTGCTTGCCACTGCCCCAAAAGGGCATGGAAACAGTGTGGGTGGGAAACAGTAGGGATAATAAACCCATGTTTCAGACATTATTACAATGCATGTGCTAGAAATGTAGGAATATTTTAACTCTTGATACTCACTGCCCAAGGTCAGGCTTCCAAGGTCAGGTTCATTGTAGGTTAGATACAGTTAAAAGACATGACTGAAGCATGACATCTACATGTAGTTTCCACGTAGTATTCTTCCAGGAAACTACAAAAATAGTTTGCTGGAAGAACAGCAAGCACTCGGATTAGATTGAGCAAACATGCTTTCTCGGCATCAAGTTGCGCAGCAGCCTAGATTGGTATGCTTTAACCAGAACAACAATTATCAATTTATATCTTTAGTTTGTACCAACACCTCACATACATGCAATATGTATGGAGTCATAGAAATGTAAAGCACGGAAGAAAACCATTCAGCGCATGTGTAGGTTTTTTGAAAGCACAGTCCATCCAATCCTGCTCACTTTTTCCCCATTCTCCTGCAGTGAATTCCTCTTTACAACAACAAGAAAATTACATTTGTAAAGCGCTTTTCACGTCGAGAGGACGTCCCAAGATGCTATTTATCTCTTTATCTAGTTTCTTTAGCTATTTATCTAGTTGCTTCTTGAATGCTAATATGGATTGTGCCTCGACCACTGCACCGAGAAAGCCATGCCACATCCTGTGTATACATTTTTTTTCCTATTCCTCCCTTTTCTTCCTGTCTTAATTGATGGCTTCTCATCACTGAATCATCAACCAGTGGAAATAATTTCTCCATACCCATTCTATCACAACCCCTCATAATCTAGTCTCCCCTCAACCTTCTCTGTTCCAATAGCCCAGTTTCACTATTCTCTGCTCAAAGGTCAAACAACTCATCCCTGATGTCCTTTTAGTAAATCTCCTCTGCACCCTCTTTATGGCTCTAATGTCCTTAAATGGGGTGACTAATATTGGACACAATACTTGTACTGATGATTTATTACAGGTTGAGCATTGCCTGTTTGGTTTAAATTCTGTGGCCTATTTATAAAACCTAAATAGGCCACAGAATTTAAAACCAAATAGGTTTTATAAATTCTTCATATAGCATTCTTCATAATTTGTTCACCTCCCTTCCCACCTTTAAAGGTTTATGTACTTTTACTCCTCAGGTCTCTGATCTTCTGATCCTTTTCCATTTAGCACATAGTTGCTCTCTTTCTTCCTCCCAAAATGTTCAAGCTCACGCTTTCTGTATTTTATCTGGCATCCCTCTGCCCAATCGAGTGGTCTGTCGATGTCCTCCTGCAGTTGCTATGATCATACTTATAGTGTGAACATTATAATAATAATAATTATTATTTCTAATGTGTGCATATATCACTGTGTTTTGAGATGTTAGCTATCCACTTTTAGGAAATATTTAACTATGCCATAGTTTCAATAAAATAACTGAAATATTCAGGTTAAACAGACATTAAAAGCTTCCATTTGCGGGTGGAGTCTTTGAAGATCGATTCAAAGCATTCTTAGTATTAAAATTCTAAGTATTTGCTAAGTAACTGTCAGAAAATTTACATTTCAAAACTGTCTTCAGTATCTTAAAAGCTTATGACTCCGTTTTCTGATATTTTGGATTCAGCATGAATGATTTAATGCTATATACATTTGTCAATATATAGAGTACACAATTCTATCCATCAAATCAAATGGAACTGATGGATTTTGACAATATAGAATATACTGTGAAGTGAATTGACTGTATATTTGGTGGGTGAAACCCGGCAACCAATTGCACACAGCAGTGTCCCACAAACAGTCGTGGATTGAGTAACTAAATTATTATTATTATTTCAAAATGTATTTTTGTTTTGAAGAGATTATTACCCCCGGAAAAGAGATCGACCAATCGACTAACAGACGGGTTCCTACTTACTGCTAGGTAAACAGGCGTGTGGAATAAGGTTTCGCCCTGTCCAGGTCATCTTGCTTGCAAGGCGAGTGCTGTCACCACTAGACTACAGGACTCCACACATATACACTCACACGCTCATACAGATACTCACACGCACAGCCGCATTAACTCATACAGGCAATCAAATACACAGACACACACACACACACACACACAAACACTCTCACTCAAAAATATAGAAAGACACTCTCACTCAAAACCACACACACTCTGACATACACTCACACTCAAACACACACTCAAACACAGACAAAATTTATTTTCCTCTGCAGAAATTTTGATTCCGTCCATAGCTAGGACAAAACTTGATGGCCATTGATGATCAGTCAATAAAGGAAAAGAAACTTATACAATAATGTTATGGTAGCTGTACATAAGATATCTTGGTGATTACAGGCTGCAAAACACTCTTGGCAGTCATCTGACTATATAAATTGTTCCAACTTCATTCTAGTGATATTGTCAGAATCCCTGCCGATCATATCATAGCTGTATAAAACACTTTGGTCTTTAAAACAGTATTGGAAGCCTGTTCTGGGCAAATTAGGACCACTACAAAAGTAGTTTATGACCAAGCACATTGTGAGGCTAAGGAGGTCATTAGGGAAATTATTCGGGAATAGTGGATTGCATCATTCCATAAGGGATTGCAAACAATCCCAATTTTTTATTGCTGGTTGAAGTATGTTGTTGCTCATGTCTGGCTGACCCTTCTGGACTGTTGCCATTGTTGGTCTTAATGATCCAGTTTGCTGGAAAGAACTGGACTCTGTATTGTGTCACTTGCTAATAGTAAAGTAGAGGATTTGGGCCATATTTTTGACCATAGTCAAAGTGGTACCTGGGTTTTGAAAGCCAGGAGAGAGAATTTGAAGCTAAAGAATTTGTGGAGGGAGTGTAGGGAAATAGTGACTGAAAGCTCAGCTGACACTGGTGGAACTGAGGGAAAAAGGCAGTGCAGCAAAGCTGAGTTTGAAGCAGAGTGAATGGGCTGGAAAGTGGGGGTTGAGGAGTTGGCAAAGGTCGGACGGTGCAAGCATTTCAAAGCAGATTTAGGATATTAAATTCAACGATAGGTAGCAAATGTGAAAATGGGGCGCTGAATATGCAGAACCTAGTGTGGCATATGATGTGAGTTGTGGCAGATTGTATGAGCTGAATCTTGGGCATGAACAAGCTAGGAAAGCATTTGAGACGTCAATTATGGGGGTGACAAAAGTGTGAATTGAGTTTTGTTTGGTTTGGAGGTGTGATGAGGATAGAGGCAGGTGATGGACTAAAGGTGGAGAAAAGAGGTCAGTCAGAGACCTAATATAGGGTTTATAAAAGATCTGAGGATTAAACAAAATGCCAGGATTGCATATTGACTTTGTGAGCTGGCGAGGTTGACGACATCAGAGAAATGGAGGAGAGAAGCTCTGGTGAAAGCTATGGGTTTTGTTTTGTTAATAAGCAGCAGAAAGTTGAGGCTTAATGTCTCAATTGGCAGTTGGCCAGGTCAGCATTAGTTTCTTAGTCTGCCTCTACTCACAAGAAGTTTACCTCATTTCTGTGGATGATGTGACCAAGAGTGTGTAATTTTGAGCATTTTACCTTTAAAAGGATGTTGTTCTATTATACACAGTTTGTAACAATAAATCTGATTATAGCGCCTTTTATCAAAATATCTGAAAGTGCTTTACAGAAATTGTCAAGTTCAGTGATTATATTTGTAGACAAATATGATGGACAATCTCCACTCAAGATCCCACAAACAGCCACGACGTGAATGACAGGTCAATCTAAAGGATTGTTGTCCAGGACACTGGGAGAAATTCCTTTCTCTTTTGGAATA